GTGGGAACTTGGGTGCTTGAGAGCCCTTGGAACTGAGGATGGAGGTGTGGTAGGCAGCAGGGCTGAGGATCCTGAATGCAGTCAACCACTCTGTTCTTACCGCTGTGCTCCTGCTCCCCAGACCCTCCCGGAGTCCCTTCAGGTAATTTCTCCATCCCACCTCTCAACATGATGACTCTGTGTCTCTTTGCCGGCTGCTTACTTCCCTGTGGCTCAGCTTGCCTGTCTCTTCGGCTGCTTTACCCTGTGTCTCCTTGTCTCCTTCTCACCTCCCAGGTCCTTCTCTCTCTTTCTCCTTGCACTTGTGTCTCCCCATGGCCCTCTGAGTCTCCCTCATTCCTGCATGACCTTGTGCCTTTCTTGGGTTTTAAACCCCACCTCCATGCTAAACCCCTGCCTCCCTGTCCCAGTCTCTTACATGGCAAGCGTTCCTGCGGCCCTCCCCACCAGCGCAGAACATACTGTCGTCATCTTTTGACTTAAGCAGAAATCTGCAATCCTGCTCCTCAGCCACAGGAATAATCGCACACTGCAGATCCAAAGGGTAGTATCCTGAAGGAAAGAACACAGGGTCAGAAACACTCCTGCGCAGAGACAGCACAGGGATCAGTGAATCCAGAGACAGGAAAAACAAAACTCACTCTTCAGTAGCTGACCCCAGCCAGCGATCTGGCACCTGGTTCCAACTGTCGGACATTGGGATGCGATGGGGATGGTCTGGACGGTAGCCGATTCCACAACTGGTGTGTTCAACTTGATGAGCATGAGGTCATTACCAGTCTTAGGTCTGATGTATTGTGGGTGCTTCACGGAGTACTTGGCATTGATAATCTGGCTGCCGTTTATATACCAATCATAAAGTCCGTGGAGGCCCAGCACAATGGTGTAGGATCTGAGGATGATGGGATAGTCAGTAGCATTATAACTACATCCTCCGTGGGAGCCCAAACTATGATGCAGGCCAAAATCCAATCCCAGCTTCACCCCCACTCATCCTCAACCTCAGTGCCATCCCCATTGCCATTCCCACCCTCCACCCATCCAGACCCATGCCTGGTGCCATCCTCATCCCCACTTGGACAGCATCCAAATCCCATTCCAATTTCCATTCCCAGACAGCTTCAGAACCTGATTATTAGGGTTGGGTCAAGAAAAACATTGTCTAATGTGTTAACTGAGGGAGCCACTAATGTTGTGGTTCAGTATAATAGTTTTAAATTCAGCATTACTGCAAGAAGTCCATTGCGCAAAGTTTCACAAATTAAAGGGAAGACAGCATTCAAAGTGGACCTCACAAAGGCCCCCCACCCGAGGATCCTGTTTATTTCAAATGTGGAAATTATGATCATCACGAATGTTTGCATTGTATTAATTAGTTTAAAATAAGACATTAACATATTTTTCCCAATATAAGCTTTTGCCTCATCTCTCCCTATACCCTGCCCTGCAGCCCAATCCATACCTCTGTCCTCAACCACTTGGCTCTGTCTTCACCTGTCTCCCTCACCTTGCCCCAGGCCCCTTGCACCTGGTGACAAGAGATCCCTTATTCACAGCACCTGACTCCTAGGTCCTGAACTCGGATCCAAGCCTGCCTCTCTCAAGCCACTTTCTTCTCTGAACTTTCGTACTCGTGTCAACCCCAGGGTCCTGCCTGGTTTCTCTTCCAATGTGAGGGATCC